CATTGTAAATTGCGGACTGTCTGTATTGACACGTGATTAGTCCTAGGAAGGCAAAAAACTAAGGTTGTAATTTTGATTGGAAAGACTTCCCTGGGGGAGGACTTTTGAGCTGAGATCAGAGGGATGATTAGACCTTAATCAGGCAAATTGGGGATGGGGACAGCCTAGGCAGAGGAAAGAGCTTGTGCGAAGACTCTGTGGTGGGAAGAGAAATCTGTAATAAGTGAAAAGGCCAACAAGCAGGAGGGCCGCACAGGAGGCAGAATATGGTGTCAGAAGAGGCTGGAGAGGTGGATGGGGCTGGGTGGAGCATGGCCAGGAAGGCCATGTTAGTCTTTCTGGGTTCCTCCTTGATTTCTTACTCACTCCCTCTTCCACCAGGTTCTCTCGTTAAGCCTTCTCCCACCCCATTTTGCCTCTCCATGCACAAGTCCTCATTGTTTCACAGGTAAACAATCGAAATAGCCCCTCGCCACCTTCAAATCCGTATTCTGCCCTACAATCTTAAGCAGTATTTCTAACATGTCAGTCTGCTTAAGTTGGTCCTCAGGATAGAATCCTCCCCTGGCTGCCACATCGTCGGGATAAAGCCCTGCTCAGCTTCCTCTCCTGTTAGTCTTCCTCACATCCACCCCCACCGCTCCACCTCTTCAACTTGGTTAGACTTCTCGCAGCTTGCAGAGGTGATGACTGCATGTGCTTTGGGCACCCTTTGTCTGCTGAAGTCCTGCTCATGTCAGGGGCTCCTACTCTGGGAAGCCGTACCCCACTTGCTCAAGCCAGTTTCCTGGCCCCTCTTTGATGTCCCTCTTTGCCTGGCACGGACTCACTGTATTCAACCCACCTCCCTCTGGCTTGTTTACATGCAGATCGTTGCTAGACTGTGACCTCCTCCATGGAGGGGTCTGGGGCTTGTTCATTTTTGTCCTTCTTGTGGCAGAGGGTGGGGCACATATTAGGTGACTAATAAATATTTCTTGAATTGAAGACCTGGTGATGGAAGAATGACATGGTACAAATACCTGGTTAAAAATGGAGCTCCAGCCAGAGGGTTCTTCGTGAAGAAGTCTGGCTTCTGGGACCTCCATGTACTGTCGGGTCCTGATTCTGTTAATAACTGAACGAAGGTCTCAAGGCTGCCTGTCCTGCCCCTGCCTGCCACGGTCATCCATCAAGAAGGGCATGGGGACGTAGGGTGGGTGGAGTCAAGCCTAAATAGACCCAGCCTTCTAGCCCAGTGTTCTCAAACTTTAGTGTGCATCAGAATCACCTAGAGGGCTTTTAAAAATCTAGATCACTGGGCCCCACCCCCAGAGTTTCTGATTCAGTCGGTCTGGGGTGGAGCCCAAGAGTTTGCATCTCTAACAGGTTGCCAGGAGGTGTAGATGGTGCTGGTCTGGGGACCACTGTCTGAGAATCTCTGTTCTAGCAAAAGGATTTGCTCTAAACATTATTACTTTCTACCATGTTGGGGAAGGATATTTTTGCTTAGGTTTGGTTTTGTAGATTTTTAAGAACAATTAGTCTGAGCTTAATGTGGGTAGAAGTATTATATTCTACAAGCTTGCCTCTTCCCCCATCTCCTGGCCTTCCCACAAAGTGGTTCTGTATTCATTCATGAGCCACTCAACAAATATGTTTTAATGTGTAGTATGTATATGTCAACATATGAGGTGGAGTTGTTGATATCAAGATGAAATTGATATGAAATTGTCCTTAAGAGAGGTCCTTCAGTGCAGACGTAGCCGTAATTCAGGGAGTCTAAAGGAGAAACGCCTGCTCTGAATGGTAGTGAGTTCCCTATCAATGGAGTTGTCCAGAACAGGCCTTCTAGAGTTGGTGGGAATAAAACACTTCTCTAGATAGACCGAATGACCATTAAGATCCTGAAATTGTGTGATTAAGCAACAGTGATGATTGACATAACAAAATGGCACAAGTGAAATGCTGTGAGTTTATACTGGGGATCTGCAGAGGCGGCTGAGGCCTCTTTGTGTAAATACTGATATTATTATCATTACTTTTAGTAAACATTTATTCCTTACTAACAGTATGCTTGGCGACTAAATGGATTTATATGCAATGACCCATAATTTGCTGTGTATTAACTTCAGATTATCCAAAAAGCTAAATAGAAAAAGCCACGAGCAGATCCAGAGTGCACCTCAGGGGCCTCTTTGGGTCCGGCTTCCTGAGTCACATGGAATTGAGATGCATAGTACTCTTTTATTTAATTTTAATTTTATTTTTTTACAATATTTATGAGAAAGCGGAAGAGAGAATATATGAATGTAAGTAACCAATGATAGGCCTATTTATTTTAATTTTTTATTTTTTTAGATTCAGGTTTGTTACGTGCATATATTACATAATGCTAAGGTTTGGGCTTCTATTAAACCTGTCACCCAAATTGTGAACATAGTACCCAACCGGTAGTTTTTCCAGCCTTGTCCCCTTCCTTCCCTTCCCTTCCCTCTTTTGGAGCCCCCAGTGTCTGTCATTTCCATCTTCATGTCTTTGTGTACCCAGTGTTTAGTATATTCCATGGAATATTACACAGCCATAAAAAAGAACAAAATCATGTCCTTTGCAATATGGATGCAGCTGGAGACCATTATCCTAAGTGAATTAATGCAGAAATAGAAAATCAAATACCATATGTTCTCACTTATAAGTGGGAGCTAAACATTGGGCCTTGAATTTATAGTCACTAGGTCACCAACTTGAATTTCAGACTCTCCTCTTGTCTTATCAAGGAAGTCCAACCAATTGCCAGACTTTATAATATGAGGCAAGGGTCAAAGTCCCTCTTTTCAGGAAGGTCCAGTACTTAAGATGCAGCAAAAAATGCTGACAGCCCTTGCCCCTCATTTACCATTTACTGAGCATCTATTATGTGCTGGGTATTGAGAGAACTGCTTTACAAATGCTATTTATAATCCCTTTACCCATCCTTCAAGGTAAGTACTGTTATCCTCATTTTCAGATAAAAGAAAAGGCACAGAGCTACAGCTTGTCCAATTTCATGCAGCAAAACTCAATTCATTTTTAGAAATCAACATGACCATAAAATTGAAACCTAATAAAAGATGGTCCCAAAATTATAGATCGAGCTCAAGTCTTAGCACAGATTCAAGATGCAATATTAGAAAACAGAATGCAGCAGTATATCAAATAAATAATATACTCTGACCAAATGGAGTGCATTCTAGGAATTCAAGAATGGTTCAATAATAAGAAATATTAGGAAATCAACGTAATTTACCTTGTCAACAAACTAAAGGAGAGTCATATTATAGTAGATGCTGAAAGGGTAGTTGCTAGAATTCTCCTATAATAAAACTCTATAACAGGAATAAGAGGAACTACTTAAATGTGGTAAAGACTAAAAATTAGCCAGATAAATCATTCTAAACAGTGAAACACTAGATCTGCCTTCATTAACATTGGAAATGCTTGCTTTTGCCATTTTAAAATATTGTTTTGGTGGTTCTTACAAATGATCTAACCTATGATCAAACAGTTTCTGTAAATATGGGGAAGAAGAGATGACATTATCTTGGCCAATGTTTGTCTACTGAAAAACTCCAAGAGAATCTGGTAGGAAGAGAAACTCTATCAGAAGTAATAAGTAATATCAGAAGTAACTCTATCAGAAGTAATAATTATCAGAATAATATCATTGGATAAGATGACTGGATAACAGCATTTCTCTATACTCTCAGGACCACACAGCCAGTGAACCTCAGCAGCTGGAACTGGGTAAACCCAGGCCTGCTGCTGAAGTTGTGCTCTTCCCACCTTGTGAAGCATTTATGCTTCCTTGTATGACTCGGTCATGTCAGCCCAAGGGAGAAGTCTTTTAGAATTTGTAACTTTCAAGCACTCCAGCAGAGCAGGTTGGTTGGCTGTGATGGGGACCCAGGCTGGGGGGCAAGCATAGAAGGTTGGCATGGACGTTTCACTGGGAAGACTCTTCGAGGTGTCTGCTACCAGCAATGCCATCCCCCTAGAGGCTGAGATAATGAACTGTACATGGGGAGGCTGAGGGTGGTAGTGTGACCTTGAGCCATTTAGCCAGATTTCTGCTTCCCAGGAACTGAGCATCTAACCAACAGAACTGCTGCCCTTTCTTCTTGGCTCCAAGAAGGCACATTTTGATTGCTCGCTGCCCTTGGCTCAAATTGCCCCATTTGAGAGGTAGTACTTGTGAGAGCACCTTTTACAGATTTGGCCGCCCTGGGGCATCAGGAGCACCAGCTCTTGGTGACTACACTCACCAAGGATGCTTTAACTCCATGGCGTTCATGGTGGAAGTGGAGCATGTGTTTCTGGCACAAAATCACTGGGTGAGACATCAGAAGTATTATCCAGATAAAACTTTTCTATTTCTTGCAGAGGCCAACCATGGGGTGGTGGAAGGGACAGTGCACAGAAACCCAGGAGACATGGATTCTGGTGGCTCTGCCACACTAGCTTTGTGTTCCTGGGCAAGTCACTTGGCGTTGCTGGGTCTCACTTGCCTCATCTGTGTCATGGGATGTTGGATTGGGTAGATTCCCAGTGTCCTTTGAATTCAACGTTATAACAATTACCCTTACAACATGCCTGACACTGTTTTAAGTACTTTGCATAGAGATAAACTTATCACAATAACCCTGTGAGGTAAGTACTGTTAGTATTCCCATTTTATCTCTGAAGAAACTGAGGCACAGGGAGGTCAAGTGACTTGCCCTGGGTCTCACAGCTAGAAACAGTGGAGTGCTCACACAGCTCTTAACCTCGTTTTACTTTTACAGTTTTTCTTTCCATGAGCTGAGTTGTTATAAGGGTGTTGGTTCTGTTGGGTGGGGGAAAGGGGTGTTAGGATGGGAGACAGTTTTAAGGGCAGCCTGGCTCTGGGGTGGATGGATGGGGTCACTGTCTGGGAGAATGATAGCGGTGGCTGCACAGGTTGCTAATATTTGCATTTCTCCCTTTTTTCCTCTTTTCCTCTCTAGTCTGTGGCAAGCGCTACAAGAACCGACCGGGGCTCAGCTACCACTATGCTCACACTCACCTGGCCAGCGAGGAGGGGGATGAAGCTCAAGACCAGGAGACTCGGTCCCCACCCAACCACAGAAATGAGAACCACAGGCGTGAGTGCCTACTTGTTAGGTTGGGGCAGTGAAGAAGTGGGTTAGGCAGGCTGGGGAGCGTTCCTTGTTCCGTTTTCTCACTGCTGCGCTGGCATCTTCTGGTAGCAACCTTTAAGTGGTCTCAATGTGCTGTAGTGCATTGGCCCTTTCAGCCAGCCAGTCAGCTGCCCCTGCAGCTCAGCCCAACAATAGCAGGGCTGGGCTCACATACCCTGCTCTGCTCCCAGAGGAAGGAAGGTGTTAAGCAGAAGAGAAAGTCCTTACCTGGCCACTGTCAGATGCCAGACCTACAACTCTTTTCCCTCAGCTCCTCAAGAGCCACTCAGACTGGGTTGGGCATAGGTCATGGGTGTGTCAGTTCAGACAGACATTCGAAATGCCTGCTTGGCCACTAAGAGCCTTAGAGTATTCTTATCTATTGGTGTGGTTTTGTTGTAGAGGGGAGGGGATCACATTTTGGTACAGGGCTCTCCTGCCTTAGAAACGCTGCCTGGAGACCCCATGTTCTTTGCTTCAGCATTCAAATGGCAAATGTGATCTGGGTGGATTTGTTGTTTGGGATGTTGGGCTCTCAAGACCCAAAGTGATCCTGAAGATTTGTGTTTCCATTTCTGTGCTTTCCTACCTCAACTTCCAATTATGAATTAGGGAATCCAAAAGGGCTTAGCATTTTCCACTTGATTTTCCTCTACAATATCCCGTGTGGTCTCTGGGCCTGCAGAAATCTCAACATAGAAATGGGATAATGGAATCTTTAGAGCCTGCTCGAAGATGCAGGCCACACTGAGCTCTCTTAGTGAAGAATATTCATGGACAGGCCATGTGTATTTAATTTTGTTCAGAAGATTTGGTGGTAGGGATTCTGAAAGTGAACAACTCAATGCAAGGAAAGGGAGCAGACCTTTAAAAGTACTCAGACTCTAGGATTAGAGGATGCGTGTTAGCCATCGACTTAGTCAACTGACGTCCACTGGCCACTTCCACCAGATATTTGAAATAATGAACACACCTGTGGCCAAGGTCATTCTTTGGATTAGTGTGGGGTCTCCCTTAACCTCCACCCCACTTTCCCCTTGTAACATTGCCTTCTTTATGGATTTGCTAGGGTTCTTATAAGACAACCCCAGAGACACAGTGACTTAAACCACAGAAATTAATTTTCTCACAGTTCTGGAGGCTGGAGGTCTAAGGTCACGGTGCTGGCAGGGTTGTTTTTCTCTCCTTGGCTTGCAGATGCTGCCTTCTCCTGTCCCCTCACACAGTTGTCCCTCTGTGCATGCGTGCTCTGGCGTCTGCTTTTATGTCCACATTTCCTCTTTTTTTTTTTTTTTGAGATGGAGTCTTTCTCTGTCGCCAGGCTGGAGTGCAGTGGTGTGATCTTGGCCCACTGCAACCTCTGCCTTCCAGGTTCAAGCAATTCTCCTGCCTCAGCCTCTCGAGTAGTTGGGACGATAGGCACGCACCATTACCCCTAGCTAATTTTTGTATTTTTAATAGAGACAGGGTTTCACCATGTTGGCCAGGATGGTCTCAATCTCTTGACCTCGTGATCCACCCACCTCAGCCTCCCAAAGGGTTGGGATTATAGGCGTGAGCCGCCGTGCCCGACCCACGTCAGATTGGATATTAGGGTCTATCCTAACAAGCCCATTTTAACTTTATCTCTTTAAATGCCTCTTTAAGGACCCTACCTCCAAACCAAGTCACAGTCTGAGGTACCATGGGTTACGCTTTCAACATAGGAATTTGGGAGTGGGGAGGGGATGCAATTCAGCCTTCAGCACCTTCTTGAATTTTTGCTCACTTCCAAGGTGCAAACCTTTAGTGCGACAGACCCTTGCTTTCTCACCTGCTGTGGTCACCTGGACAGAACCTGAACAGCAGAGCAGGAGGCGCCCCCTGAGCCTTGCCCGCCTCTCCTTGCCAGGGACTGAGGAGCTCCAACACTAAGGCCTTCTCTCTGGGAAGAGTTTTCCTTGGTCCAGTCACCCTTGTCTTTCAAAAAGGAAAAGATACTGACCTGTACTGAGGCAGCCCATACTTGCATTTCCCTGTCTCTCCTCTTTTCCCTGGTCTAAGTGACCAAGAGGTCACACGGAACTGTTGTCTCCTACCACAAGGAGGCTGAGAAGAATCTCCTTTGATTTTGGTTGCTCCCTGAAAAGCGTTTCTTTGCCATTGTTGCGCTCTCTAAAGTGTTTATTAGCTTGGTGGCCTTATTTCTCACTCTCCTGTGCTAGCTTATCTCCTTATATCTCTTCTCAAATGTCAGGCCATTTTGTTCCTTTATTCATGCCCTGGGGTTTGGAATGCTTCTTGTCTGTGTCTCATTTTCCTTGGTTCTCCTGTAGCCTCATTATGAGTGTGGTGTGTGTGTGTCTATGCATGTGTGTGCGTGTGTGTGGGTGTGTACATGTGTGCACGTGTGTGCGCATGTGTGCGTGTGTTGCGTGTGTGCGTGCTGTTTGCTTGTGTGTGTGCATGTGTGTGCACGTGTTGTTTGTGCACATGTGTGCTTGTGTGTGTGCGCGTTTGTGTGTACGTGTGCATGCATGTGTGCGTGTTGTGTGTGCATGTGTGCGTGTGCATGTGTGTGTGTGCGTGTGCATATGTGTGTGTGTGTGCATGTGTCCATGTGCCTGGTGTTTGTGGCTGCACGGGGAGGTGTGCTGCAGACTCTAAGTAGAAGGAGTCAGTCTCCCCAGCGATCCCTGTGATCCCCTCAGAGTTGGCTGACTTCTGAGACCAGCATTCGGCTGTGGATCTCCTCACGCTCCTTCGTGGGCGGGGGTGTTTGGCCTTCTTGTGTCCTCCCCTTGAGGCCACATAGCCTTGCTTGGGAAGGAAGCTGTGCGTGTCTCCCTCGCCCTATGTGGAGATGTCTGCCTGCGAAATCTCATGGTGGCTTGTTCTCACCTCTGTGGGCTTGTCAGTGCGCGGCACGCACTCCAACTCCCCCTCACCCTTTTCTCTTTCTCACCCTGCTGATGAGAAAGTGGGTTCTTCAAAAAGGATCATTTGGCTGGCCAAGGGTTTAAAATCTCCTAGAAAATAATAGGTGTTCCCAGGCGGATCCGGGGCCTCCCCACATGAAGAGGTTTCCAGAACCCTCACAAATACCTTTTTAATGACATCTCACAGCGTCCTCCTCGAAAACTCAGTGATTAACCCAGTTTTGCTAGTGGGGAGGGTACAGCAGAAAGGCCTTTAGTGCCTGCAGAAACCGTCCTTTCCCCCGTCCCTAATTTCTCTGGACAAACCAATGAGGCAGCTGCTCGTCCCAGGTTCTCTGCACCACACAGGCCGCCGACTTGCTTGCCGCCCCGAATGTGTGCTCTGCTCCCTCCCACATTCCCCTGGTGAGCAGCCCCCAACTATTTTCTTGTGAGCACTAATTGCCAGCATCATTAATACCCAGTCATTAGCTGCTGCCACTGTTTGGGGGTAGGGGGTGGCTTCCATCCATCCTGCCCCTAAATGCCACTGGGGCTGTGTGCTGAATTGGATGTGACAGCTCGGCAGCATCCTAAGGTCTCAGCTTCGTGATCCTCCCTTGGTGAGGCTTTTGGAGGGGAGGGGCAGATAGGAGAGCTTAATCCAAGAGGCTAATCTGTGGCTCCCCCAGGAGAAGGTCTGGACACCAGTGAAGTGAAATGCTGACTTTTTCCCCCTTTAGCAGAGCTGCAGGGTGACCCAAGCTGCATGTGAGCAGAGGCGTAATGGAAAAACAGCCTTACAGACACAGGGGTTTGCAGGGCCAAGGGCAGCTGGGCTCGCACCACCTGCAGCAGTAGCGACCTTTTGACTTTGGTCCTCCTGCTGTTGCTTGCTCTATCGCCCCCCAACTGTGTCTTCAGCAGAGCCCGTGGTTCATCCTGCGCCTGCTGCTGCTGCTGAAAGAGCGGAGTGGCCTGCTGGAGCTGGCCCTGACCTTCCCTGCCCCAGCCCTTGCTGCCAGGGCTGCAAGCTCAGCAATCCACTGCCGCTCCTGATCGCCTGGCCCCCAAGCTGATGCTCGCGCGCCTTTGTTTCTCCCTTAGTCTCTCATTTTCTCCTGAGTATACATTTCTTGTGTTTCCTGTACATTTGTCCCCTTTCCTGTGTGCCCTTGCCTCTCTGCCTCAACTACAGGAAGCCAGGGTGGCTTGGAGCTCAAGCACTCCCCTTTGGGAAATAGTGCTTTTCTGATGGTGTTCTCTGCATGTGGGCTGCATCCCACCCTCTCCCTCCATGCGGCTGGGTGCCTCTTCTCCCTCTATTTGTTTTACCAACTTCATCTACTTTTGCAAATGAAATAAATGACTGTGTGTGTGCACATGCGTATGTACACACACACACACACACCCCTACACACAGATGTACACATACATGAATAAAAGGAGCGCAGCCGGGGAGGATAGGACTCTGAAAGATGCACTCAGAAGCATACCATTGTGACTCCTTAAATGCAGCCTTGGTAGGGAGCCCCAGCGGGGTAGAGTAGCAGAAAGAACTCTGGACTAGAATTCAAAACCCCCTTAACATAGGCTCGTGATGTTAACTTCTGAACTTTTTGCCTTCTCTGCACAGTGGGAAATGATTATCGATGATGTTTTTGAGTTAATTTTTGGAGTGAGGATAGACATTTATGAAGTCCTGGGCCTGGATGAAAAGCTGTATAAATAAATTCAGTCTAATCCATCCATGCATCCATCCATCTGTGCATACGTCATCCATCCATCCACCCATCCATCCACCCATCCATCCCATCTGTCCATCCATCCATCCATCCACCCATCCATGTAATAACCACGTATTGAATATTGTCTATATGCTGGGACTAGGGAGGACAGGCATAAAGAGGACTCAGCCCTGTCTTTGAGCTCACAGTCTTGAGTGGGAGTGTGCAATGGGGTGTGTACAGAACTATGACGGAGTTCAGGACTCAAGGGCACAGGGTACTTTCTATGCCTTAGGGCAGTGGTGTTCCAAGTGTGGCATTAGCATCACTTGGGACCCTG